AAAAAAAAAAAAAAAAGAATGGAGGGATCTAACCTTAACAATTCTTCAGTTTTAAGGCACTCGGGAGGAGATAAAGAAGAGAAGTTAATAGTGCATGGCAAGCAGTTTTGAATGTATTTGCATAAGTGTAAAAGTAAGACCATGAAAAGGCCATTGCATGTCAGAGAGACTGTGTTGTTCTGTGACAGATTAAATAAATATGAGCATCATCCACTTAACCCTTGGAATTAACTCTACATCTTCTAGAACTGATTAACCTTTTTTTGCTTATACTCAATAAAAATGATGTCCTCCTGCTGCTGCTTTAATTACAAAGGAAAAGTTTCATTTTTTAAACTAGATTCACTTAAGAAAATTTGAAAGTCTGATAGTCTCAGCTCAGCTATTACAGTTGCTCTAATTAACTGTTAGTTTAACCCTCTACAGTTAATTGATACAAGGATTACTCTTATAAGACCTGTATTCTGTTTTATTACTGCTTGAACTTTGCAGTCTGCTATTCTGTGGATTTTGATGTTATAACTGTATGTTGCTGGGTTTTTTTCCTCCTCTCTTTTGTTGGCCTTCTGTTTTCTGGTTTGTACAATTATTAATTTGTGTTTACAGGGTGGATGTGTAGACTCGACCAACCAAAGCCTGGCGCTACTATTTATGACCCTTGGACAGCAGGATGTTTCCAAAGTCCTGCTAGGCCCTCTCTCTCCCTACACGTAAGTTATTTTTCAACCTCATTATTCTGTCAGGCTTAATCTTCTCATTGCCCAAAATGATAGAGGTGTTGTGCTGCACAGAGCCTGCACTGTGAACACCTGCTTGTGTTGATCCTCAAATAAGCCAGCAGTTGTCACTCTTAACCTGGTGTTTATTTTAGCATACAGGACATACAAGGATTTTTGCTTTTCTTTCCTTCCTCAATCCCATGTAACTAAAGTTGGATCTCTATTGGGCAGTTATTTTGTTTGTGCTTTAGATTTTGTTTCCATGTTAGAGGCAAACTCCTGGTTCAATGTAGCTTGGATTTTGTTACTAATTTTTTTTAATTGTTCTCTTCCCTAGCTGTCTAAGTTGCTGTGGGAAAACAGGTTTTTTGTCTAAAATGATAGGGTATGAGCTCACTGGAAAAGATGACAAAAGGCTGAGTTTGTATTAATGCTGCTGGACTACAAAGGAATTGTAGAAGTAAGTTTGGGCCATTGAATGTTAGCAGAAGTTGACTGATGTGGTATAAAAGCAAGCACTCCTCAAAAGAAATAGATTGTCAGAAGACTCGAATTATAAATGACACAGTAAAAGAAGCATTTCCCTTCGATAGTAAATGAGGTTGCGGCCAACAGCCTATTTGAGCACTGACATTGTGTGTGTGTGTTTACACGTGCTTGTATGCTTAGAGATCATCATATGGCCATCTGTGGGTGGTGAGCTGGGTGGCAGGGAATATTCAGGTAGATATGAGACTGAACTGTCCTTTTTCGGTTATCATGGTACCGATGCTGTATATCTGAAAGGTACAGTACTGTGATAACTGAAGAATGGTGGTGCCATCACATTGAGAAAGGAGTGAGGACTGCAGTTGGGGCTATGCAGCCTTGGGCCATGGTTTTGGTGGCATGAAAACCAGGAGCTTGAAAGAAATTCTTTTGGAGGCTTTTTTTTTTTCCTGGGAACAGGAAAATGGAAGAGAATACATTCTGTTAGCAGAGAGGGAAGACCGATAAGCAGGAAACTGGTGAGGGTGACATTATCTCCTCATAGCTTGTGTAAAAGTATTTCGCAGGACAGGAAACCTAAAATTTGGTAATCCTAAATGGCATGGTAACATCAATAGTAAACATTGCTAAAATAGACTTGGTAGTTAAGCCCTTGGAGAGGAGATGAGGGCTGGGAGAACAGCACCCTGGGTGCAGAGACTCACCCTAGGTATAGAGAGCTCACTGGAGGCCGCTGCCAGCTGTGTGACTGCCATGGCCCCGCCAGCTTTATAGCTGGGCTCATAGCTGCTGTTTCCCAGCCCCTGCTTCAGGAACAAGGAAGTCCTGCTTGTACACACAGTATGGGGCATGGGGCGTCTTGATTGTGTGTGGTTCTGGAGCATGGGGTTTGGCAGAACATTATGTGAAAATGGAATATATATTTTTATTTTTCCTTGGCATTTTTTTTTTTTTTTTTTCTTTCTGGCTTTTGGAGATCTTTTTCAGTTTGGCTCCAGGACCTGTATAATCTTTTCAAGCTTTCTGGAGATGTATAAGATGTGACTGGACGTTTTAAAAAGTTCCTGAGTCCTCTTCAACACATCTTCTCATCAAACATTAATTGTAGTGTCTTCCAAAAAAGTTGCCTAAAATGACTTCCTTTCCTGGGAAAACAAAGTGTCCTGCTCTGAATGGCTTTAAAGGAGTAGCACAGATTGAAAGATGATATATCTTGAGGCTTAGGCTTGGAGACTGTCTCCTGCCTCTCAGGGCCTTGTGCACAGGGGTCTGCAGGGTGGAAAGGGGAAGCCTCCTTTCTTTTTGGTAAGCTAGCATAAGGATGGGTAATGGAGTCTATTTTCAAGAAGGCTGGATCTGTTTAGTACACTTCTACTCCTAATCACTGTGGACAGCTCCAGCAGCACAAAGAGATGAAGGGCGAAGGCAGGACCCAGCAGGCAAAGTTAACATTGTATTGGTGAGTACAGATGAGGGTAAAAAGGGATGAAATCCATGTGAGGACTATTATGGTGGGTGAACAGTTTTTCTAGCTGGATTCAAGAGCTTTGGAGACCAAGCCAACACATTTATTTTTATGTGCAGTTTAAAGTCATAGAAACGTGTTTTGTGAAACCTCAGATTTCTAAAGCAAACCAGAAGCAAGACCCTCCTTGGATTAAAAAAAAAAGGCATTTCTTCAAGCAGTTTACACCTGTTTTTATTTGTATAAAATAGCTTTTTAAATGTTTGTTTAAAGAGCATTGGGATTGCTGTTGGTAGTTTTCTGTACTGCTTGAGAAAGTAAGTCTGTATGTGTGAAACTCTTTTAGAAAGGCCCAAGAGATTGTTTTTTTCAGTAGAATAAAATAATACTGGATAATCACTGGCATGTAATGATTCTATTTCTGTTAAATTTGTTGAGTTTTAGGTGGCTTACAGTTAGTGACAGTAGTTGTACTGTCCACTCAACAATAATTTTACAGTTTAGGGAGGATTTATGCGTTTGGATTAACAGCAAGAAAAATAAGCAAAAATTAAGATGCATCTTAATTAGCATTTTCAGAAATTGTTTGTGGAATAAGACTGCAGTTACCAGAGCGCTCTGCATTCTGCTAGTCCACAGGCCTTGGAGTCCAGCCTATCTGGACTTAAGGCTCTGCCACATGCCACCAGGAGAGTGTGGCAATGATATTTAGCATCTCGGAGCCTCGGTGTCATTTGTAGATAAGGTACATGGTCCTGAAGTCCTGGACTTGTGAAGATGGAACGAAGCTTAGATGAAGTCAGATGCTTAGTGCTCCTGGCAACGCACCTGAGAAGCTGTCAGTGCTGGTGCTGTGGCTTCTACCTGGATACCTGCTCACTCTGCTGCAGAAAGTCCCTTGGTCAGGTCACTTTGTTTTAGTTTTTTTTTTTTTTAACTGCTTCTTGAGGAGCAGGGCTACCCCATAGACAATGTGCCCAGAGTAGCCTGGTCAGGTCACTTTGAACCCCAGGAGGCCTAGTCAACCTGCTTTGGGTGATTTTTAGCTTTAAAGTCATCTGTAAGTATGACTTACAGCTACCTATAAATCTCTATCCATTAATTTTTAATTATGGATCAAAAAATTTTAATTTCTAGTTATTTTTATGACTGACTTCCCCTAGTCACATTACTGAGCAAACTACATGCATCTTATTTGATCTTAAGAATTCTGTAAGGTAGATGTTTATTTAAAAAACACCATGTTTACTATGTGCAAGATGTTGTTTTAAGTGCTCACACGTATTAACTCATTTAGTTTTCAGCATAACTTATAAGGGTGAAAAAGGCAAGTACTGTCATATGCGCCATCTTACAGGTGATGGGACTGAGGCACAGAGAGGTCAAGTTATGTGCCCAGGGTCACACAGACAGTAAGTGGGGTTCAGACCTGGACAGTCTGCTGCAGTCACGGCTTCCCTTAACCACTGTGCTTTTTTTTTTTTTTTTTT